GTCACAAAGAGTCGGACATGACTGAGCGACTTCACTCACTCACTCACTCATGCCTAGGAGAGGGATTGGTAGATCATATAGTTAACTCTATTTTTAGTTTTTTAAGAAATTTACATACTGTTTTCCATCATGGCTGCATCAATTTACATTCCCATCAGGAGGATAGAAGGGTTCCATTTTCTCCACAGCCTCTCCAGGATTTCTTATTTGTAGCCTTTTTGATGATGGCCATTTTAAGTGGTATGAGGTCAAACCTCATGGCACTACTTTTGATTTGCATTTCTCTAATAATTAGTGATGTTGAGCACCTTTTGTCCTACTTTTTGACAGGGAGGCCTGGCGTGCTGCAATTCATGGGGTGGCAAAGAGTCGGACACGACTGAGCGACTGAACTGAACTGAACTGATGCCTTCTTTGGAGAAAGGTCTATGTCTTCTGCCAATTTTTTTGATAGGGTTGTGTGAGTTTTTTGTTATTGAGTTGTATGAGTTGTCTATATATTTTTAAAATTAGCCCCTGTTGGTTGCATCATTTGCAAATATTTTCTCTCAGTTAGTCAGTTGTCTTTTCGTTTTGTTTATGGTTTACTTTGCAGTGCAAAAACTTACAAGTTTGATTAGGTCCTATTTGCATATTTTTGCTTTTGTTTCTATTGTTTTGGGAGACTGACCTAAGAAGACATTGTTATGATTTATGTCAGAGAATGTTTTGCCTATGTTTTCATCTAGAAATTTTATGGCATCATGTTTTACACTTAAGTCTTTAAGCCATATTGAGTTTATTTTTGTGTATGGTATGATGGGGTGTTCAAACTGCACTGAGTTACAGGGCAGTCCAGCTTTCCCTACATCACTTGCTGAAGAGCTGCACCACCCACCCGCCCCCTGCCACATTGTATATTCTTGCCTTCTTTGTCGAAGATTTATTGATGGTAGGTGTGTGGGTTTATCTATGGGCTCTCTATTTTATTCCGTTAATCCATATGTCTGTTTTTGTGCCAGTTCCATGCTGTTTTGATTACTGTAGCTCTGCAGTACTGTCTGGGATCTGGGAGGGTTGTGCCTCCAGTTTTTCTCTTTTTCATCAGCATTGCTTTGGCAATTCTGGGTCTTTCATTGTTCCATATAAACTTGAGCATCATTTTTCTAGTTCTGTGAAAAAATTTCATGGGTAATTGGAAAGAACTCTCATTAAGTCTATAGATTGCTTTGGGTAGTATGGCCATTTTAACAATATTAATTCTTCTAATCTGAGAGGTGTTAATTTCTTTTTCTTAACTCAAGTGTTCATTTGTACTTGGGTACATTGACTGTGTGTAGCAATCCCATTCCATTCTCTATGCTCTTTCCTGTTCTTCCTGTCTGACTCTTCCTTGTCTTTTGTTGGAAATTTGAAGAACAGTCTTTAGCTTATCCAGCGCTCAGGGAGAGGTGGAACTTCTACAGTTTAGTTTCTTAGAAGAAGATTCCAGAACTTCAACCTGATAACTCTCCATTCTTAGTTCAGATTCCTTCTTACTGGGAAACCTCCCTGATTCAACCTGAGACTGGGTACTCCTCCAATGTTTCTTCTGCCCTTTGTATCTTCCTTAGAGGTAGATTAAGCTTCCAGGGCTGTTACTTGTACAGAACCCTTCCAAGGGCTGCACTTGGTTTTGTATCTTTTATTTTACATTCTTTTCCTTAAAGAGTCCTTCCCCTCCTGACAATTGTGTAAGATTTAGGTCCCACAACATCTGGATCAACCTCTCAACTACCTCCAAGATAGTAATGACCATATTTTCCTGAGATTATTTATTCACATATTTAGGATTCCCAGCCTAGCAGTGTCTGTCGTATAGTAGTTGCTCAATAAATATTGTTACAAGTTTTCAGGAACTTCATCTGCAGGTCCTTCTTTCCTCACTGGGCATTTGTTAATATAAATATTTATATTTCAAAGAGAGGCTGACAGGTCCACCAAACAAAAGTTGGTTAATTTTCTAGAGAGAGGCACTTCTCAAGATATTATGGCTTCCTGTCTCAACCCCAAATTCATTTCCTTTGCTTATGTCACAGGAAGATTCCCCTGCCTCACTAGTATAAGCAGATTGTTCCATGGACACTTAAAATGACAAAGACCCTCAGGTCAGCATCCACTTGGGCTCTACCCTCACAATATACCTTTAAAAAGCATTTTTTAAAAAGCATTTTAATCAATGCAATATATGTTTATTGTAGAAAAATAGAAAAATCAGGGGAAAGGAGAATAAATACCATCAATTTATCACTAAAAGTTAATTTGGTGTACATACTTTATCTCTATATATGTATTTGTATCTATTTTTTATTTTTAATACTGTAAGCTTATAAGCATGTGCAGAAATGAGAATATCAGGACTCCTTGCAGTTGGCCACAAACTAGAGTAGGTGGGTCATACATATTCACATGGTAGCACTTTGCAGTTACAAGTGGGAGACGCTGCTCTCATCAACTTTGTATGTGGCAGCCTAATTTTAATTAGGTCATTTCATACTTGACCCTGTGTACATGTTCTGAGAACACCTCCCAAATTAATTACTCTTCTACACCTTTCCCCATAAGGACCTTATTTTTGTTTGAACAAAGGTTACATGTATGTTCATTTTTTTTAGAGCTTTATAGCTTATAAAACTTTATAATTAACCCTGTGCTTAGATCAGTGGGTCAAGAAGATTCCCTGGAGAAACAAATGGCAACCCACTCCAGCATTCTTACCTGGAGAATCCCCATAGACAGAGGAGCCAGGTGGGTTATAGTTCACAGGGTAGCAAAGAGTCGGATATGATTGAAGTGACAGCATGCAGGCACGTATGCACATACTATATTGCAAACATCTTTTAGTATGTAACACACTTGAAAAGTGAAACAAATTTTTCAAAGTTTTGATAAAATTGATTTGTAACCTCTGACAGAAAGTGCTAAGTATTATGTTCCACTCCATTCAGTACTAACGTTATTTATACTTCAGTCCAGTTCAGTCACTCAGCCATGTCCAACTCTTTGCGACCCCATGAACTGCAGCATGCCAGGCCTCCCTGTCCATCACCAACTTCTGGAGTGTACCCAAACTCATGTCCATTGAGTCGGTGATGCCATCTAACCATCTCATCCTTTGTCATCCCCTTCTCCTCCTGCCCTCAATCTTTCCCAGCATCAGGGTCTTTTCAAATGAGTCAGCTCTTCACATCAGGTGGCCAAAGTATTGAGTTTCAGCTTCAACATCAGTCCTTCCAATGAACACCCATGACTGATCTCCTTTAGGATGGACTGGTTGGATCTCCTTGCAGTCCAAGGGACTCTCAAGAGTCTTCTCCAACACCACAGTTCAAAAGCATCAATTCTTCAACGCTCAGCTTTCTTTATAGTCCAACTCTCACATCCATACATGGATATGGAAAAACCATCGCCTTGACTAGATGGACCTTTGTTGACAAAGTAATGTCTCTGCTTTTTAATATTCTGTCTAGGTTGGTCATAACTTTCCTTCCAAGGAATAAGCATCTTTTACTTTCATGGCTGCAATCACCATCTGCAGTGATTTTGGAGCCCAGAAAAATTAAGTCAGCCACTGTTTCCCCATCTATTCGCCATGAAGTGATGGGACTGGATGCCATGATCTTAGTTTTCTGAATGTTGAGCTTTAAGTCAACTTTTTCACTCTCCTCTTTCAATCTCATCAATAGGCTCTTAGTTCTTCTTCACTTTCTGCCATAAGGGTGGTGTCATCTGCATATCTGAGGTTATTGATATTTCTCCCAGCAATCTTGATTCCAGCTTGTGCTTCCTCCAGCCCAGCGTTTCTCATGATGTACTCTGCATGTGAGTTAAATAAGCAGGGTGACAATCTACAGCCTCGATGTACTCCTTTTCCTATTTGGAACCAGTCTGTTGTTCCATGTCCAGTTCTGACTGTTGCTTCCTGACCTGCATACAGGTTTCTCAAGAGGCAGGTTAGGTGGTCTGGTATGCCCATCTCTTTCAGAATTTTCCACAGTTTATTGTGATCCACACAGTCAAAGGCTTTGGCATAGTCAATAAAGCAGAAATAGATGTTTTTCTGGAACTCTCTTGCTTTCTCGGATGATCCAGCGGATGTTGACAATCTGATCTCTGGTTCCTCTGCCTTTTCTACTTAGGTAATATAAATAATATAAATGTATATTTAATAGATGTTACACATACGTATGGGGCTTCCTAGGTGGCGCTAGTGGTGAAGAACCTGCTTGCTAGTGCAGGAGAGACAGGAGATTCAGGTTCCATCCCTGGGTCAGGAAGAGCCCCTGGAGGAGGGCATGGCAACCTACTTCGGTATTCTTGCCTAGAGAATTCCATGGACAGAGGAGCCTGGTGGTGTACGGTCCATAGGGTCGCTAAGAGTCCGATAGGACTGAAGCAATTTAGCACACACACACACACACACAAATAAATAAATATACATACGTACATATAAACTATGCAATATGAAAGGAGTGCAATTATGGCATACTTTTATTTATAAGGTGATGCTACGTCCTTGCACAACTGCAGAGGGTACCATTCACATATATCCTGATGGTCACTGCAGTCCATGAGAATGAATACTTAACGAAAAAAAATCAAGATGGGCTCCATGGGTCTTCAGGCTACATAAAATTTCACAGGAAAGCGTTTTGCAATTGAGAAAGGTTCACTTGGGACTGGTTATTAAGTAAAACCATTTCACTTCTAGTGAAACACCGGCGGGAAAAGACCAATTTTTCAAAATGAGCTAGTAAACGCTTCTACGCACAGTTTGCCAACTACGGGACACCGTGGAAAGTGCCCGCCAGGATAGCCGCGGTGCCTGCTGGGAGTTGTGGTGCGGCCATCGCTTTTCGTGAGGCGATCTGGGCCCCGCGAGACTCCGTTTCCCGGCAGGCCGCGCGCCAAGGCAGCCGGCGGGACGGGAGCTGCCGCGCTGGCTGCGAGTGACCGTGTCAGTTTTGGTTCTTGTGGTAGCGATGGCCTCGTTCGTGACGGAAGTCCTGGCACACTCCGGGAGGCTGGAGAAGGAGGATCTGGGCACTCGGATCAGTCGCCTGACCCAGCGGGTGGAAGAAATCAAGGTGAAGCCGGAGCAGCGGGCGGCTGACTCTAAAGGGACGGAGGGAGGAGCCAGAGTAGGTCTAAGTCTGTGGGGTGAGGAGGGGGCTTAGAGGGAAGCCCAGACAGGGACTGGGGACTGCGGAGCCGAGGAGGCTGGGACGCTGGGAAGAGGCGGTGGCTGGGGCAGTATTGGGAGTGGGGTTAGGCTGGGGACGTTTGGGATAGGGGGACGAGGGGAACGCGGAGGAGACCGGCAGAGCAGGGAATTTGGTAGTGGAAGCCCGAGGCGTCTGGGGAGCGGGAGCGTAGCACCTGGATAGAAATGAGGGCAGGGCCACCCCACCCCTCTTCGGAGTGTAGTTTCCTCCTCTGTGTGATTCGTGGATGAATGTGATAGCTTTGGGAGGATTGTACCGTTCTCCTCCCTGAATTTTTGTTATTAAAAACCTATCAATACTTTATTAAACTCAACTCTCTTCTCCACCCCAGGCCTTTGAGACTATGCCGAGTGTTAAAAAACACGTGAATAGCACTTCTTTGGACCTTGCTGTCTTGCGATTGATACAAAAACAAAAGACACCTAACCACACACAGTTTCACTTTGTACTACTGTCATTACCTTACATTTGTTATTTGCCCACATCTTTGTTGCTTTCTTAAACATCTTAAAAAGACGTGTACCCTGTGGATTTTAAGAGAGCAAGTTTGGCAGTGAACCATAAAGGCACAAAAATGGTTTTATTTTACCAAAATGATTTCCTAAGTGTTAAGTATTCATGTCACTGGCATCTCTTCTGGAATATGGCTTTAGGATTTTTCATTGCTTTTTATATGATGGAAAGAGGACCGGCTGTTAAGCTACTTTAGTGTGGCGCTCAAGGCCCCTCCCCGTTCTGGAACTAACTTGCCTTTCACCAGTTTATTTTCCCATCCAGACAGATGAGAATTACTGTCTATTCTCCAAGCAGACCCACTTTTTCCCTAATTCCCCGATTTTATTTATGTTGCCATCTCTCCATCTTTTACCTGTTAGTATTCCTACTCATTCTTCAAGTTCCATCTCAAATGTAGTTTCGTGTGTGAAAAATATCCCCATTTACCCTCAGGCAGAGGTGCTCTGTTTCTTAGTTGTGCTTCTGGAGTACCTGAACTCTTGTTATATTGCATTTCTGTTTTCTGATTACTTAAGTGTATACTATCTTTCCTACCTAAAAGAAATTTATTTTGGACAAGCATAATTTCCCTGGTTCAGAGGTAAAGAATCTGCCTGCAATGCAGGAGACACAGGAAACGTGGGTTCGATCCCTGGATTGTGAAGCTCCCCTGGAGGACAAAATGGCAACTCACTCCAGTGTTCTTGCCAGAAAAATCCCATGGACAGAAGAACCTAGTGGTCTATGCTCTGTGGAGTTCAAAAGAGTCAGACATGACTGAGCAACTGAGCATGCACACAAGCATAGTATATTCGTGTCTCCCAAACGTTGACTAATTCAGTGAAAAATATTCAATAATTTATAAATTATTTTGTGTTAAAGGAGATAATGGAACTCAGATCAACTTAGGGTTTTAAGATGGTGTGTGCTCAGTCGCTCTGTTGTGTCCAACTCCATAGCCCCATGGGCTATAGCCTTCCAGGCTCCTTTGTCTAGGGAATTCTCCAGGTGAGAATACTAGAGCAGGTTGCCATTTCCTACTCTAGGGCATCTTCCCAACCCAGGGATCAAACTTGTGTCTCTTGTGTCTTCTGCTTTGGCAGGAGGATCCTTTACCACTAGTGCTACCTGGGAAGCCCGAATTAATTAAGATTAGGTCTTGCAATTTTATAAGCAAGGAAATAGAAATTCATAAATCAATTGAGATATATAGATTATGGTTTTAGTTTATTCATTTACTTTTTTTCCTATTAGATATATTATTAAAATTAGTGATTATAGTCTGAACTGATTTGATTCAAAATGAGAATTTCTGGCTCTGCCTTTCTCTTTTTCAGTGTTTGTACAATTCTTGGGCACTGTTGGGATTTGTTGATCGTTGTCTTCTTGTACCCTTGTGTTATGGGACTCTTAAGGGCGGGAGAAATATTTTTTTCAGAGAAACCCATTGGCTTGGAGGGAAAGTGAATGGGTATGAGTAGCTGGCAAAAAGGCCCTGACTTGGAAGATACCTAACAGAAGATGAGCTATATATTTTAAGAGTTCGCTACTCATCTCATTGTAATTTTTCTCTTATATAATAGGGCGAGGTGTGCAGTATGATCAGCAAGAAGTACAGCGAATTCCTGCCTAGCATGCAGAGCGCCCAGGACCTGGTTACCCAAGTGGATAAGCTATCTGATGACATTGGCTTGCTGAAATCTCGGATAGAGAATGAGGTAAGAATAGTTTGTTATGTTGGATAGATTTGTAGAGAGAAAATTCAGCTTCCGGATTCCAAAGACAACTCAGTTTACAACTTTCTTTTTTAATCTTCATTTTTTTTTTTTTAAAAGAAAAATTATTTATTTGGCTGCACCAGGTCCTAATTGTGGCATGTGGGATCTAGTTCCCTGACCAAGGATTGAACCTTGGCCCCCTGCATTGGCCTTAGTCACTGCAGAGAAGTCCACCAGGGAAGTCCTTAATGCAGCTTCTAAAGACCTCACTTTCCTTATTGGTGAATAGAAGTTGAATTAGATGACCTTAAGGTAAGTTCCAGTTTTAAAATACAAATGTTTTCCAAAACCATAAACAGTTTCTTTTTTATGGTAAAAAATTTTAAGCTATACTAATAATGTCTTGCATTTTAGTTCACTTTATAAAAGAAAAAAAATAGCCTCAAGATTTTAATGTCTTCATAATAAAAACATAAAGCATATAAGTGAATCATTTGGCCTTGTCTCTTATCATCTCCTACTTTAAAATGCTTGTATCTCTTAATGGCACGCATTCTCTTATACCTGCAGCTGGCCTCAACATATTAAAGCTTCAGCACAATCTTTGTCTTTTAGCTTTCTTGGTGGAAAATTGGCTTGGATTGCCAGCCACAACCACTCTTACTTCCTGTCGTAAGGCCACTCTCCTTGGACATGCAGGGAATCGCTGCCCATCTTGTACTGTGTCACTTTACACTTTATGGAGCTAGTGCTTACTGTACTTCTTATGGAAAGTCTGGCAGATTTTAAGAATGTTCACCATGTTTGCCAGAGTGCTGTCATCACAAAGGAGTAAGCCAGTATTGAAACAGGAATATCTACTTCATAATTTTAAAAATGCTTTTCATATATATTATCTCACCAGGATTTTTCCCTTACAGTTTCCTTTTAGGAAAAATAAGCAGTTTAATAAAAGCAAGCTGATATTAGAGGTTTAAATTGAGTAGGTGTCTTGTACATCTATTGTTAAATTTTCACTTAGGATGCATTGATATCCAATATCAAGATGTCAAGATATTCTCAAGGTCCTAAATGAAAGACATCAAGTCTCTTCTCTGTGTCTCAGTTACTAAAGAAGGAAAGGGAACAGATGTGTTTTTTAAAGTTCTGTATAAAACTTGAATTGCAAGTGGGGAAACCACTAGCCATTTGGAAAATCTATTTAACAGTGAGTTTACCTGTCATTCTGGTTAGTGGTTTTAATAAAAATAAATCCATTACTCTGCAACTCTGGTACAGTTCAAATAATATATTCAAAGGGTATTTGTCAGACAAATAAGTCAATAGTGCAGTCATAGACTGTGTTATTAGAAATGAAGTATCTGGAACAAGAGAGTAATGGACTGTGTATGTTTTCCTGGCCAGAGTATGACTGGCCAAGATTTATTCAGTTCTGATTGTTGTATTTTTAAAGATGATTGGTCTTGATGAGAGGGTCCAGACCTGACCACCATACCATTTGAAGAACAGTGAAGAAACTGGGGGTATTTAGCTGTGAGAAACACTTCAATATTTGGAGTCTTATTATTTGAGAGAAAGACTCAGATTTATGACTAGAGAGGGGAATTTGATTCAGTAGGTGGACTAAATGGTTTATTCAGTCATTTGATATATTTACTGAGCATCTGTAAGGTGCCAGATACTATGGTAGTTGGTGAAATAGATTTTTATTTCAAAATGTGAATCTCGTGCCTACTATAGAGGAATAAAATAATGTGATACACACTAAATAGGAGTAATTCAGTTAGAGAGAGGAGATGTTGCTAAAGATGTCTTCCTGTACAAACAGGGGTCCAAACCAAAGTCTGAAGTGATAGGTAGTTAAGCAAAAGAAGGAGAAATGTTTAGGCAGGCACAGGGGACAGCATGGTGGAAGCATGGAGGTAGTGGAGAGATACCACTTTCAGAAAGCTCCAAGTACTCCATATGACAGATGTTTATAGAGTGAGGTGGGAGGGGCCATGAGATTAAAAAGGTAAACCAGAACCATGTGTATTAGTTTAAGTAGTAAGGATTTTCTTGATTGCCCTGTAGAAGCTGTAGAGCAGTTTAAGTAGGGGAGTGATGTCAGATTTGAATTTTAAGAATTCCATTCTGCTCGCAGTTTGAAGAAAAGACTTGAGGGAAAAGAGACTGGGAAATGAGAAGGCAGTTGAAGCATCAGGAGGCAGTTAATCAGGCAAGACAGGCTGCGACCTGCACTGTAGTCAGTGGCAATGAATGGGCACAGAGAAAAGGGGATGAATCCTGGGGACTTTCAAAAGATATAGGATCTTTGGGAGTTGCTGGCGTGAGGAGAGAAAGATGGAGGAGTCTCAGGTAACTGTGGAACTGGGTTATTGATGTGCCATCCATTGAAATAGAGAATCTTGAGGAGGAGTAGGGTTTGGTCGAGTTTAAATATGGGCTGCCTGTATGAAATCTAAATGGAGCTGCACAGTTGGCTTGTATGAAGATGGAGGCTAGACTGTTATAAAGAAAGATGGGGCAGGGCCAGAAACCTGAAATGCAATGACTCAAACGAGATACATATTTTTTAATCATGGTCTCCAGGCCAGCAGGCTGATTCTACAACCCAGGGCCTGGCTATTCTAGTGCATTCTGAGTCAAGAAGTGTGGCGGATAGTTTGTTCCCTACAGTAGTAGCCAGTGGATGAACGTTTTTGCACAGCACCCTGAGCCCCAGTTTCTACAGGGCAGTGTGTGGTGGGCTGCGTGATAGAAGAAAACTCCTGAGCTTAGAGAGCGCAAATGTCTTCTAATGGGTAGTAAGCATGCTGGATTTTTGTCATGAAGGGAAATACTATTTCTATTTTTCAAATGTTTGTTTACTCTACAAACATTTTTGAAAAGATAGTTCAGAGCAAAAGACAGTCCATTGCTTCACTTTCAAGATGGTGCTGAAGTGTGAGAAAATCCTAAAAAATTGTCTTCCAACAGTCTGTAGAGCAGTGGAACTGGCAGCATTTATTTGGTGGTTTGGTAGACACGAAGATTTCAGAACCCATCTCAGGCCTACTGAGTTTGAGTCTGCATTTTAATAAGATTCACCAAGCAGTATGTATATATGCATGTTATAGTTTGAGAAGCACTGCGTTAGAATTTCGTTGTTGTTTATGTGGTTGCAGTTGGTCTCTCCCCATGTCCAGTGATATCTGGAGGTTAAGAGAAAATAGAGGGAACAGAGAAGATGCATCTGTTTTCTTAAGACCCAGATTTGGAAATGGTAGACATCACTTCTGCTTATATTCCACTGGTGGGATTCACATGGTCACACCTGACTGAGAGGGACAGCGAAAACAGATAGTGTAGTTGGGTAGCCACATGCTGTTCCTATAAGAGAGTGGATTTTAGAGGATAGTTTGCACATTATCCCCTCCATATACATATTTGGATTTTAGGAAAATGGTGTGGACTTGAGAGAGCCGCACTTAGAAATTGAAACTGTGAGAATGGAGAGAGTATATAGAGCAGGGTTTTTCAATCTAGGCACTGCTGAATACCTAGATTGGGGCTGGATATTATTCTTTGTTGTGGGGGGCGATCCTGTACTTTGTAAGATGTTTAAATGTTGAGTATCCCTGGCCTCTGCTCACTAGATGCCAGTAGAACTTGCTCACTTGTGACAAGCCAAAATGTCTCTAGACATTGCCAAATGTCCCTGGATGGGAGTGGGCAAAAAATTTTTAATTTTTTGAGAACCATTGGTTCAGAGTAATAAGAGGGCCAGGGAGAAAGGAATATCAGTATGTGTGAAGTGATCAGAGGGAAAATGAAGGTCCCAAAAGAAAATGAAAAGAAGTGGCCAAAAAACCAGGAGAAAAATGAGTAGAAATTGGTGTCGTAGATCTAAGGGAAAGAGAATAATAGTGTACTGATGAATGGTTAAGTACTGGTGATACATGCTTTAGACATAACAACAAAGATTTGATTGATGTTTTTTTCTTAAAGATGGGGGAACTTTTAACATATTTAAATCTGATGGGAGGAGCCATCCTCTAGTAGCTATTGAATCAGTATGTAATTAATGAGTGAAGAATGAATTAGTAAGAGGTAAAAGATAGAGAAAAGAGGAAACAATTGATAGTGCAAAGTTCCTGAAAATGTGCCACAGAATAGGAGGTGGATCCTCACTTAACCTAAGAAAATCTTCCTATTGGTTAGAACTATTCAACTCTAGAGTGAATTATCACTTGGCTGTGGGGATACCCTTCTAGTAATCCAGGTGGGTGAATTCTCTGATGTGAGGTAACTGCTTAAACTAAGACTCGTTGCTGACAAGAGGATTTTATGTTGATGACAGTGGGTGTTTCTGCATAAGACAAGGATTTGGGCCATTTGGACCACTTCAGGTCTCTTCCTACTACATTCTATGATTTTTATTCCATTCTTAACCGGCATTTAAATTTAATCATGAGTTATTTTCAGCTAATAAGGCTTGTTGATTATAAGAAGTATTTAATTTCTTAGGTATAGTATAGCTAAAAAGTACTTGTCTTTGATTGTGAATTAGGTCCGCCGGGATCTTCATGTATCAACGGCTGAATTTACAGACTTGAAGCAACAGTTGGAAAGAGACTCAGTAGTCCTCTGTTTGCTTAGACAGCTACGAGAGGTCAGTAAATTCACACCAAACTTTAGTGCTTTAGTGGTGAGAAAGTTGTTTTTTTTTTCCCGTTGGTCTTATCTTTCAATGAGTATCCTCTGACTATGTGCTATATTTTTCATATTTTAAAAACAAACAAGCAGACAGACTTGAAATAATAAGATGTATCAGATAAAATACCTAATAACTATACTTATCTTTTCAGTTTTCTACTGCTATTGAGGAATATAATTGTGCCTTAGCAGAAAAGAAGTATATTTCTGCTGCTCAGCATCTAGAAGAGGTATTAAACACTTTCTCTAAAGCATGAACAAGTAATGCTACTCTTGTTTTAAGTAAATTTTGTGTCACATGTATTCCTTATTGTTATACAAATATATTCTAATTGCCTAGAGTACAGATGAAGTGTTTAATAGTGATTCCATTTCACTGCCAGGCCCAGAAATGCTTGAAGTTATTAAAATCCAGAAAATGCTTTGACTTAAAAATATTGAAATCTCTCAGCATGGAGCATACAATACAGAAACAGAACATACTTTATCACCTTGGAGAAGAGTGGCAGAAGCTGATTGTATGGAAGTTCCCACCATCAAAAGGTGCTGCTGACCTCAGTGAACTGCTTTGCTTAATCTGCCTGAACCGGTTTGGCTTCTGAATGTGTTCCAAATATTTTTTATTGGGAGAGAAGAAGACTTCATTTATTAATCTCCCGGTTCTATACTGAGTTTTCATTTAAGCAGAATGTTTATTAGGACCAAAATGCTTGTTACTTCCTTCACAGTTCTCTTTCTGTCCCTTTCGCTCAGAAGGAGCAGAGAAGAGGAGAGATGATTGGGAGGGGTCCATGAGGTGAGGGTGTGCCTGAGGAGGTGGTAGCACTTTAAGCCCACAGTTCCATTCCATTGTAGGGTGTGCTCATTCCCAGAGCCCTCATCCCAACAGTCAGTCTTTTCTAAAAGCTTAAAGAAACTGTTCGACCTTTCTCTCTCTTGCTAAGGAAGACAGGGGATCGATGGGATAGGAGTTTGACCCAATTTTTTCAGTCCTCGGGGAAAATTGGTGACAGAATCATGAGAAGTGGGATAACTGGGCCTGGCTTTTATTTTATACTACTTGGCTCTCAGTCCCTCTGCCCACCTCTGGGTGTGAACCCTCTTTGATATCTTGTTTACACAAGGTAAAATCTCCAAGGGTATATTGAAAGACATACCATTAAATCCAATATCTTTGCCAACATTTAATCTTGAAATTTAGTCTGTTTCAGAGGAAACTTCAGAGTCTCCCCTTTCCTCCTTCCCCTTATCCACTTTGGCCTTCAAATACAGTGAATATGAATATATATACATAGACCCTCTGCCCCCCCAACCCCCCCATCCCATGTGTATTTTCAAGGAAGTCATCCAAAAGTTATAGATTCTATTTCCAAGCAGATTATAAAATTAAGAGAAGATGGCAATTCTTTGTTGTAACACATCCTTCTTGTTAAACTTGTTTGGCAGGCTGGTCTCTTTATTTCATAAAGAGGGAACATAGAAGAAGAGGCCTTAACTGAAACTAGGATCTCACTTTTTATTCTTTGCCTTCGTTCAGTCATTCAATATATTTTTTGTTGTTGAGGTATAGTTGATTTACAGTGGTATGTTAATTTCCTCTGGACAGCAAAGTGATGCAGTTGTACATATATATATATATATACACACACACACACACACATTTTAAAATTTTCTTTTCTGTTATGATTTATCACAGGATATTGAATATAGTTTCCTGTGCTGTACAGTAGGATCTTGTTTAGCCATTCTCAGCACATTTAATATGCAGTTATTGTAGGTGCATCATCTTTTGCACTCAGTTTGATTCTTTGAGCATACCAAAGGAAGTAATTTCTTGTTTTAAAGTGATGTCAAGGACTTGTATGCAGCAATTCGTACTTGCGTTAGAAGTGTATTGTACTAAAACCACGTTTTTAGGACTCTTGGTAGACAGTGGGCTCTCAGGAATAGAAATGGGAACATCTTGTATTGCTGATACAGCTGATATTTTTTCCCTTCTCCATAGATATCAGCAACTTGGAATCTTGCCTGCAAACAGAGCTTCATTTATGCACTGAACAATCTCAGAAAGAAGAGAAGGACCCTGTGCCACCAATCAGTTCTGTCCTCTTGGCATTTTCTCTTCTTGGAGAGCTACATACCAAGCTTAAGTCATTTGGTAAGACATCCTAGTTTGTTTCATTTACATGACATTTTCAGAAAGTCCAGTGTTAAAAGAATGATGGGAAAAATCAACAAATATTCTCTGAATGATATTGATGATGGATCATACGGTTTGGCTTCATGATTCATTAAGTAGAATTGTTATAAATATTACCCTTTTCATTAAGGGCTTTGATCTGATCCTTTTTTCTTTTCTCTTTTTCTCAAACTAGCTGTTGGTGTTTATTTTATTTTTTAATAATTTAAATAAAAATCTGTGGACAATCTGGGAAACTTCAGTGGGAAAACTTGTATTGTGTAATCTCATGGTATATGTTTTTTGTTGTTAGGCTCAAAGATCTTTTTTTCTCAAGTGTCTTCAAGTGATTTTTTTTATGAGTGTTCATATAACTTTCAGGTCAGATGCTGCTAAAGTATATCCTTAAGCCTCTGGCATCTTGCCCATCCCTTCTTGCTGTGATAGAAAGCCAACCTAACATCACCATCATTCGTTTTGAATCTGTGATGACTGACTTGGAACATCCATCACCATCTGAAGTTTTTGCCAAGATCAGACTGGTACTGGAAGTGGTCCAGAAACAACTTTTAGGTGTGTATACCCAAGGCCATGCTTTCATATTTTAGAAAAGTTGATGTGGTATTTGAAAGTAAATATTATTTTAAAAAGTGGATATTATTTTAAAAAGTGGATAAAAATGCTGCCATTCTGAGTGAGTGGAGGATGGAGGTGAGTAAATTGTGTCTTGGGAAAATAGTAGTTACCTTTCTCTTTCTTGCTCTGTTTTGCTTTCCTTCTCTGCCTAGTGTTGCCACGTAAGGTCATCAGTGGTACCCCATGTTCTTTGTTTGTGATATATAGTTGGATTTTGGGATGCTTTTCTCTCATGGGACTTCTAGGGACATCATATTTTGGGACTCTTGGTTAGTTATAGGAAAAGCAGAAATGAACTGAGTGCTGTTTGACATATTTCAGTGGGAAAATCCCCATCAACCTAGTTGATATACACAAACTGAGTTTAACATAGGACATGAGTTTCACTCCAGTTCAGCCTGCTGGTTGGATCTTTATATGTTCACCCTTGAGACAACCAGTTTCTGTGCTGCTTGGGTCATTTTTTGGCTGTCACACCACTAAAAGTAAAACTTCTTCCTTTTTTTATTACAATACTGTCATTTTAGTCTATTTGACTTACCTTCTTTTTGCTTTTCTCAGTTGTCTGATTGAATAGTCAAATTAGGCACTCTTGCTGTGGAAAAAATAAAAAAAGAAATGCTGCTATTGTTTGTAAGCCTTCCTGGCAGTCACATAATTTATTTATATATAAATAATTTATCACTTTTTATTAGCGTAGTTAATTTACAGTGTTGTGCCAATTTCTGCTGTGCAGCAAAGTAGCTCAGTTGTATACATATAGACATTCTTTATTTATATATAAATAATTTATTTGTAAAGCAAGGAATTCTTTCTAGTTTTGATAGCAGAGAATAAAAAATTTCAAGATTTGTATGAACTGCAGAAATCCAAGGTGGTTTTGTTCTTGTTCCTTTGCTTAGGGAGATAATATACTCTTGTTTTTATTAGATATAACAAAAAGTTGTAAACAACAGAGTCCAAGGATTGGAAGGAACTAGAAAGGTGATCAATCCAGATATCTCTGATGCTTGACTCTCCTCTGTAACACTCCCATCAATTGGTCACAACAAACCTGAGCACCTTTGAGCGTCCGTCCTACCTCTGGGCAGCTCTTGAGTCCTGTCAAGTTTTTGTTGGTTTTTTTTTAAAAAAGTTGTATCTCCTTTCTGTATTAAATACTCTTGCCAAAATGCCCATTTTGGAAATTAAATCTTTGGGGTAGTTGTTTAAAAAATATGTTCAAAATATATTGCACTGTAATATCTGCTTTACCGATGCTGTTTCTACTCTGTGGAGCTGTATAGAAGTCTAATTCTTTGAAATTGGACTTTGAAATTCTTTCCAGTCTCTGTAATTATGTCCCATACGTCTTACCACCATCTTTACTTTTTTTAAAAATTAAATAATGTTAGATCTTCTTATCTTCAGTGATCTTCTATGGATATATTCCATTTTTTATTAGTCCTTTTTATTACAGTATGGTGTTCAAAACAGAACAAAGCATTCTAGATACAGTCTGAACCAACTCAGATTAGTATGGGAGCATTCACTCCTTTATTCTCAGTTTCAGGTTTCTGTTAGTATAGCCAAAGGCTGTTATTACACAGTTCACTTATTGAGCTTGGTGTAAATGAAAGTCCCACATACTCAGTGCAAATGGCTGCTTTCCTATCTTACACCTGACTTTTTACAGTTAACGTTATTCTTTGTTGAATTTTACTTGATAAAATTTTACAGTGTGTTAACTATCCTTTCTACTTCATGTTGAATGCACATTTGATAATCATGTTTTCTTAGAGCTTAAGTCAGTGATGGTACTATTAACCTAGAATAAGGCTAAATTGGAGGGTGCTCTGGGGAATTCCAGGAGCACACTGGAATGTCTTTCCAGTTTGACATTGGTCCTTTAAGTGCTCAATCCATTGTGTCTGTAAGTTTTCTTTGTACCTAGGATATTCAGAGCAGAAGACAACTCACTGTTGCTCGGTTCTCTTCCCATCTCTTTAATATCTTTCAGTCAATATTCCCTTCCTTCATCTTCTTCTCCTAAATATAACCTGAGGATCATCCTGAGGATCATACTTTGTAGCCTTAGTTCTTTTCTGAGTCCTCTGCTTTCTTTTCATCTTAGTTATTCTGAAACTTCATAAAGGTTTTTACCTTCCCTCTTACGTTTGTCTTTGGTTACATGCTCCTTTCATCTTTTAAATATGTGTTTTTTACTCTCAGGTTTTCTTTATTACTAAGCATCATTGGACCAACAGCAAAGGAATTTTTAAAAAGAGGATAAAAAATTCTTTTGGGAATAATTTGGCAAAATATATAAAAAGCCTTAAAAAATGTTTGTATCTTTAAACCAAGATTTCAACTTCAAGGAATCTGCCCAGAAGAAATAATCTTAAATATATGAAACCATTAAAAAAAAAAAGCCCTATTTATTTCCATTAAAATCAGTTTTAAATTAGGAATGCACACTGGCATTAATATTTGTTAACATTGTTTTAGGTGTTATTGCTGATGCAAAGAAGAGAAAATAAGTATAATATTAAAATAAAGAGAAGAATTTATCTTTACTTGTAAATGATGTGACTGTATACCTGAAAAACCAAAAGACTCTACTAAAACTTTTATAAATTAGTAAAAAACTTACTAAGTTGTCTAGGTACAGTATAAATCTATAAAAATCAGATTTCTTCTCTCTAGCAACAATCAGTTATAAATTAAAATATAAAGATGTTATTTATAATGGCAACAGAATCTATTAAATTCTTAAAGATAAATTTAATAGGAAGGATATATGTAAAGGAAAGCATAAAACTTATTGAGGACATAAAGGGAAGGGAGGCTATCTTGGATTAGAAAACAATCTTAAAAAATTGTCAACTCATTCCAAAATAATGTATAAATTTAATACATTTCCAGTCAGATGCTTGTTAGGTATTTTTTGAACTGGACAAATGAATTACTCTAGAGCTTACATAAAAAAATATGAGACTTGCCAGTAAAGATTTGAAAAACACTAGTTGGAGAATTTTATAATTAAAACTATGTTTTTGACATAAGATCAATGGAATGAAAAAGAGTCCATACTTAGAGCCAAGAATAAAAGAGAATTTACCATTTGATCAGTCATATTTTAGTTTAGTGGGGCAGTTTATTAAATAATAGTGCTAGCAAAATTGGCTATGTGGAATGAGATAAAGTTAGATTCCTGCTTCGTACTTCAGAGATACATTCCAGATGAATTAAAGCCTTTTATGCAAAAAGTAGAACAATAAAAGTGTTGGAAGAAAATTTATAATACTTAAATATTATCAGGAAGGTCTGAATGCAGGAAATGATTGACAAATTTGACTGCGTGTAAATGTCAAACTCTGTATGGTAAACAGTACCATAAACAAAGATTATATTGTACTTGGAGAAAATATCTGCAGTGCATTTGACAGACAAGGAGTTGATATAAAGATTTTTTTCCAAAGAAAGAGAAAACATAGTAACAGAAAAAGGGTAAAAAATATGAATAGGCAATTTATGGAAGAAGACGTTCCAATTATTAATAAACATAAAAGTAGGTGTTGCTTAATCTCCCTAATAGTGGAATGGAAATCACAGCATCAGAATAGAACTTTCCACTCTTAAGGTTAACAAGATTCAGAGATCTGTGTAAGACACTTTTGGTAAGAAAATGGAAAGGTAGGTTCCTTCATTGCCTTTGTGAGTGTTTTTTAGCAAGTAATCTGAAGCTCTATAGTTATGCTAAGATATTCATCCCTTTGACTCAGGTACCCCACTTTTTAATTCCTTACAGACGTCATATCGACAGTATGTATGTTTGCTTGTGTAATTACTGTATATACTTGCATACTGGAATGGGTATCATCTGAAGAAATGGTTGTGTATCTTACAGGTGAGCCATACTATGGGGTACTCTGCAGCTATTAAAACGAAGTAAAGTATTGCATATAGGGTTATCATTACCATCTTTCTAAATTCCATATATATGTGTTAGTATGCTGTAATGTTCTTTATCTTTCTGACTTACTTCACTCTGTATAATGGGCTGCAGTTTCATCCATCTTATTAGAACAACTAATAAAAATAAATGAAAAAAAAATAAAAGTTTTGCTGATAAAAAAAAAGAAGTAAAGTAGAGCTAGATACCTCAGAGATGGCCATGATCTATTCTTAGGGATAAAAAGTTAAGTGTAAAATCTGTGGCATGAACCCATTTTATAAAAATGGACGTGGCCCCTTAGTTGAATATTATATTGGTTTACTAGGGCTTCCATAACAAAATACCACAGGCTGTGTGACTTAAAAAGCAGAAATTTATTTTCTCACAGTTTTGGAGGCTGGAAATCCAAGATCAAAGTGTTAGTAGATTTGGTATCTGCTGAGCCCTCTCTCCTTGCTTAGCAGACAGTCTTCTCAGTGTCCTCACATGGCCTTTCCTCTCTGCATGCTCACCCCTGATGTCTTTGCTTTGCTTAGAAGGACACTAGTCATAGTGGATTAAGGGCAGGACTCCACCCTTCTGACCTATTTAAAGGTGAATCCTGTCTCCAAATGCAGTTACACTGGGGACTAGGGCTTCAACATATGAACTTGTGGGGGACACAGTTTGATCTATATCAAGTGTGTGTATTATAAATGTAAGGGAGGAAGAATACAAACCAGACTCTTAACATTGGTAACTTGGGTACAGAGAGACAGAGAAACTTGTGGATATGGAGAGGGAAGATTGTCCTTTTTCTTTAGAAACATTAGTGGTATTGATTTTCTAGAAGGTATAAGTTACTAAAATTTACCGAGAAGTAGAGACTCTGAACATGCAAATAGTTGTAGAAGAAATTTGAAGCTTGTTAAAGATTTCCTATTTAAAAGGTCACCATTAGGCACATAAAGTTTATGGCTAAATTCTAGGTACTCTTCAAATTACACATAATCCTTTTGATAATCAAGCTCTTTTGGTCAATAGAAAAGGATAGATAAGCATCCTGATTAATTTTTTTTAAAAAAAGCATAAATTTGATATCAAAATGTACACACAGAGAAAATGTAGAATGATTTTATCAAGTCATTTTATCACTAGCTGAATTTACAAGCTCAGTTCAGTTCAGTTCAGTTGCTCAGTTGTGTCTGACTCTACGACCCCATGGACTGCAGCACACCAGGCTCCCCTGTCCATCACCAACTCCCCGAGCTTAGTCAAACTCATGTCCATTGCGTCAGTGATGCCATCCAACCATCTCATCCTCTGTCATCCCCTTCTCCTGTCTTCAGTCTTTCCCAGCATCAGGGTCTTTTCCATGAGCTCAGATCCCATTAAAATCGCATTTTTGGTTGGACATTTAATTGTGATTTCAGGTGACTCATTTTGTCAATTCTTTTTTTTAAGAGGAAGCTTGACAAATTCCTAATATATTTGCTGAAAATGTCTCCTAATAGTGTCTGCTTTATCATCTTAAAAATTTTTTTGCATAGCAAATTTTTGCCTTGCTCTGTTTTAGCAAGTTGCACTGCTGTTCGTTGTAAAATTCTTGGCATATTTTCTTCCAGTCTCTTTTTTCCTTTACTGTTTCTACCAGTTCCTCCAACTTTTGCATCTTCACTTGATTCTGCATCAATAGTATATTTTAGTTTTAAAGTTGAAAGTTTGTTTATAGTTATTTTCTTAAATGAGAAAAATATATCATAATGAAAATAATAAGCACTTCAATTTAACTCCTTTTTTCAGTTTATATAGCTATCACTGTAACCTGTGCTGTATGCACAGAATATTCAAGTACACACATTACAGTGTTACACTGATGCAAAGGAAAACAAAGTCATTGGAATGGAATGAATCTGTTTACTTTGACTACATAGAAAATGTGTTTATATGAAATACTAGAAGTAATATACGTCCCTGAAATGAGCACTACAGTATACATATGGTGATGCTATGGTTAAAGTGAGATGTGGTCTTATCAAAGCAACAAAATTGTGCCTCACAGAAAAGTATTTTACAGTACTTCATTTTTTTTTTTTAGTTTAAAATTTTTATTAAAAAAATGTATAGAGATCCCATATACCCTTCACCCAGTTTTCCCCACTGTTAGCATCTTGTGTAACCATAGTATAGGATCAAAACCAGGAAATGGACTGTGGTACAATTCAGAGAATTTATTCAGATTTTTCCAGTTTTCCGTGCACTCATTTGTGTGTATGAATAGCTCTGTGTGATTTTATTACTGGTGTAGATTCATGTACCTAACACCACACTCAAGATGTGAAACTCGCCTGTCACCACAAGGCTCCCCTGTGCTACCTTATAACCACACACCTTTGCTTTCAGTTTTAAACTTAAGTTGAAATTACTTAAAATTTTAAAAAATTGAATTCGTCACACTAGCCCCATGTCATATGCTCAGTAGCAAAATGTGGCTGATTGCCATCATATCAAACAGTGCAGGCCTAGACTTCCAATTTTACAAGATAGCTCAAGGCTTTGAGGTAGTATGGTCACTTTCTTTTACGGTTCTCTTTACACTATTTAGTTAACTAATAGTGAAAGTCGCTCAGTTGTGTCCAGTTCTTTGCAACCCCATGGCCTATACGGTCCCTGGAATTCTCCAGGCTAGAATCCTGGAGTGGGTAGCCTTTCCCTTCTCCAGGGGATCTTCCCAACCCAGGGATCAAACTCAGGTCTTCCACATTGCAGGTGAATTCTTTACCAGCTGAGCCACAAGGGAAGCAGTTAATTAATTAACTTCCTCAAAATGTGTTAGGAAAAGCCACCATAAAATATTACTGTGGAAGATGTGTTGAAGTATTCCATTTGACAGACTAGATATTACATGATAATGTAAGGTATTTATTGATATTTTGCTTAGAATAAACACTCTGATCCTTTGCAGAGATGAGAAAATATGTTTATATATTATTGGAGAAATGAGATTTTATTCTAAACTAGTTTCAACTTGGTATGCAGAACTTCTGAGTGCTTGTCATATAATCAGATCTGTGGTTAGCAGTAGATGATTATAATGTAGATCGCTTACTACCTAATTGTTGCAGAGAACAGGCGGGCAGTCTTATAATGCATATGATTCATCTGAGCAGTGAAAATACAATAATAATTGTGTCATGAATTTCCCACATAGTTGAAGTAGGGTAGAATTACTTGCGCTGTTTTCTTCCCTGTCATCTTAAAATTGAAAAGTTCTAGAAAAGTAGGGAATTTGAGAATATATCTGGTGTGTGAATAGCTTCTTGTTTAAAATTTTTTCTTTTGATTTCAGATTTACCTCTTGATGCTGACCTAGAAAAGTTAAAGACATCTAAGATCACATTGGCTGAGATGCTTGGTGACATGATCTGGGAGGACCTATCTGAGTGCCTTATTAAAGATTGTTTGGTTTATTCTATCCCGACAAATAGCAGCAAGTTACAGCAGTATGAAGAGGTAAGAGCAGAGGTGTCACTGGAGGTTTGGAGAGACCACAGGTTCTTGTCAGTGTCCTTTGTTTATCTTGGAGATAGTTTGTTCTTTAAGAAAATTATTCATAAGATGTGGATGCAAATTCCCTATAACTTCATTTCTCTTCTGGCTTGCTACCTTTTGATTGGGAAGTATGCTGTCTTATTCAGTATTAATATGTTTTCATTAGTAAGGTACTTTTGAAAAAGAATTGTTTTTATATTTGTATCAGCTCTAGTAGCTACTAGGCGATACTTTACTTTTTGGCTTCTTTCTAGTGTTTCCTCAAACACTAAAATAAGTACAGAAGTCCCCTCTTAGGTATGTTCTAAGACCCTCAGTGAAGACGTGAACCTGTGGTTAGTATTGAACTGTAGATAAATGTGCAGTGTTTTTTCTATACTATGGGCAGGTAGTATATATAACACGAATATACTGTATAAACAGATGATTCATATCCTGTTGGTAAAACACAGCAGGACAATGTGATATTTCATCACACTACTGAGAATAGCACACAATTTAAAACTTAGGAATTGTTTGTTTCTTGAATTTTTCATTTATTATTTTCAGACCATAGCTGACTGTGGGTAACTGAAACCAAGGATAAGGGAGGGGGATTACTGTATATTTACTAAAAAATTTGTTAAACTTTTACTAAGCAGAGTCAGAAACTCCTAATGAAGTTGCTCTTCCTGATGAATTTAAATGTGTAATATTTTCTACATAGTAATGGATGGTCTGTTCTAAAACTTAATTAGCCATCTGCTCCTTGTTCTTTTCTGTACATTGGATTTGAAATTTTAATATTGAAAAGGAATATATGTATATAATTCTTTACTTTCTTTCTTTTTCTTGCATTTCTTTCTCAGATCATACAATCCACTGAAGAATTTGAAAATGCCTTAAAGGAGATGAGGTTTTTAACAGGAGATACTACTGATTTGCTGAAATATGCCCGTAATATCAATTCTCATTTTGCTAACAAGAAGTGTCAGGATGTGATTGTGGCGGCTAGAAACCTAATGACCTCTGAAATTCACAACACTGTGAAGGTATGGGCGGGATGGTTATAATTTATTACATTTCATTAGGAAGCAGCTTATTTTTAAAATGATTGTGGTAGAGTGGAAGAGCATGTGACATTTGCTGAGATTGTTGAGGTGAGTTATTAATTTTCTTAAACATTAGTTTTCTCATTTTGTAAGGGGTCCTAAGACCTACCTCTTTCATAGGGTATTGTGGGATCCAGATAAGATAATGCACATAAAAGCATTGTATAAACTGAAAAAGCCTACATGAATTTAATGGATTACTGTTGAAATCAGAGTATATCAACCTATAGTTTTCTTAACTTTTATCACATGAATTTTTAGTATGCAATTTTGTGACAACTACTGTTATATACAGAGATTATATCCTGTTGTGAAAATGTTGACTCCATTGCTTAGGCTAATAGAGGTGCTAGTTTTGAAGATAATAAAAGGAAACAAAAAGATACGATCTTTGTATGGTGTAAAAATTATCCGTAAAATCTGTGGACAAATCATAGTTTGCATTGAGGGTAATTTACTCCTTTGACCTTAGGTAATTCTGTGTATTTTTTCTGTTTTTTACATATATAAATTGATATTTGGCATATATGAGTGTTATTTAGATTAGAAGAAGACATAGACTGAATAACCCCTTAGAAAATTCCTCAGCCGCTTTTCTGTTGCCGCTGAGAGGACCATGCCCTTCTCCCCTCTGTGCTTTCTGCTTGCCCCTTTCTCCTGGGGTTACCCTGCTGTAGTGTCCGCTTCAGTAAAGTATTTAATTAGCCATTTGAGCTCCACAGATATTAACACATTTTGGTGAATCTGGGAATGTCGGGGGAACTAAAATACACTCAGGGTTTTTACATGAATGTCGCTTATGTCACTCTTGTGCACAAAACCCAGTGACTTCCTATCTCATTCAGAGAAAGACCCAGTCGGCTTACCGTGGCCTGATAGGCCCTGGGTGATGCATTCCCTGTTGCCGTTCTGACTGCATATCCTACGGCATTCCTCTCAGTCACTCTTCATTTGCCAGGACAGCTTGGCTACAGAACTTTGAAACCTCTTTCCCCCTCTGCTTGGAATATTGCTATAGACTTGCTCCCTTTCCTGATCACTATTTTACTTTTTAAGAAAAATTCATTATTTTAAAAAAATATTTCCTTAGCTGTGCTGCTCAGCATGTGGGATCTTAGTTCCCCAACCAGGGATCAAACACACGCCCGCCCCCGGCCCTGACCCCTACCCCATCCCTTGCATTGGAAGCACAGGGTCTTAACCACTGGACCACCAGGGAAGTTACTTGATCATTATTAAAACTGTTACCTCCTCCTATTTTTTTTTTAATTATCTGTATATTTATTTTTATTTTTGGCTGTGCTAGGTCTTCTTTGCTGTGTGGGCTTTTCTCTGGTTGCAGTGAGTGGGGGCTGCTCTCTAGTTACAGTGTGTGGGCTTCTCATTGCAGTGGCTTCTCTTGTTTCAAAGCACAGGCTCTCGGCCTGCAGGCTTCAGTAGTTGTGGCTTCCAGACTCTAGAGTCCAGACTCAGTACTTGTGGTGTATGGGCTTAGTTGCCCTGCAGCATCTGGGATCTTGGTGAGTCAGGGATCAAACCCATGTCTCCTGCATTGGCAGGCGGATTCTTTACCACTGAGCCACCAGGGAAGTGTGAGTCACTCATTTGCATCTGACTCTTTGTGACCCCATAAACTATAGCTCGCTGGGCTCCTCTGTCCATGGAATTCTTCAGACAAGACTACTGGACTGGGTAGCCATTCCCTTCTCCAGGCAGTCTTCCTGACCGAGGGATTGAACCAGGGTGTCGCGCACTGTGGGCAGATTCTTTACTATCTTTACTATCTGAGCCATCAGGGAAGCCTCCCCCTATTTCTTATACTCTTTGCTTGCTTTGTTTTTCCTCCCTCGTAGCTCAGTTGGTAAAGAATCTGCCTACAATGCAGGAGACCCCGGTTCGATTCCTGGGTTGGGAAGGTTTGCTAGAGAAGGGATAGGCTACAACTCCAGTATTTTTGGGCTTCTCCTGTGGCTCAGCTGGTAAAGAATCCACCTGCAATGCGGGAGACCTGGGTTCAGTCCCTGGAGAGGGGAAGGGCTATGCACTCCGGTATTCTGGCCTGGAGAATTCCATGGACCTCATGGTCCAAGGGGTCGCAAAGAGTCGGACATGACTGAGTGACTTTCACTTTCAAGTTACTTAATATAAATAAATATTTTGTCTGAATTATTTATTGTTTTTCCCCACTAGAAAATATGCTCTATGTGTGGAGGGTTGGTCTCTTTTTTCCCAGTTTGTTTTGTTCTTTACTGTTTTGTTTACTGTTGTACCTCTAGCATCAAGAATATACCTGGTGCATGCTACTGTGTACTTAGTACTCAGTAAATATTTGGTAAATGAATTAATATATATCCCAATAGCTCTGCATAACTCCTTGTTATAAATATGATTGTTACTAGATTGCTTTGTAACTCTGGGCTAAATCTTTTAGCCTTGTTGAACCTCAGTTTCCTTTTATGTAATATGACAGAACTGAACTAGATAATCTCTGAGCTTCCTATTCAACTAGTTCTGACATTCTGTAAGATTTTATTTTCCTCCCAAATATCCAAATCCTAATGATGGAGCTTCCTCTAGATCAGAGTTTCTCAGCATTGCCACTGTTGACATTTGGGACCAGATAATTCTTTGCTCTGGGGCCTGTCCTGTAGGATGTTCAGTAGCATCGCTAACCTGTACCCACTCGATGCCAGTGACACCTCCCCTGGTTGTGATATTTGTATTCTCATTGAAACATTATAACAGCCCTATAAAATAGATGTTATTATACAAATTTTATATATAGATGGCAAGTCTGATGACTTTAATGTTTTTTTAAGACTTGAAAAAAACTTAAACTTTTCCTATCAGAAATTTTCCATAGAGGTCCAGTATGTGCTGAGCAGAGCAGCTCTTCTTGAGGTAGGAACCTGCTGCTTCTACCTGCTTAATCTCCCCCTAACTTTTTTTTGGCTCCTGAGGCATCTTTGAGAAGCACGATTTGAAAACCGTTATTTTAGTGCAATTTCTTCATATTACAATGAGAAAATTTAGGTCAAGAGAGATTAAATGACTTTGCTTAAAGTTAGGGTAGAAGATATCACTGATGTTTCCAGACTAGAGCCCTAGTATTCTTCCCTTCATGTGTGTGTACTCGGTTACTTTAGTCGTGTCTGACTCTTTGCAACCCTGTGGACTGTCACCTGCCAGCCTTCTTTGTCCATGGGATTCTCCAGGCAAGAACACTGGAATGGGTTCCCATACCCTCCTCCAGGGGAACTACAGCCCATGGATCAAACCAGTGTCTCCTGCATTGCAGGCCATATTCTTTACTGCTGGGCCACCAGGAAAGCCCCGTTCTTCCCTTTAGTTTTCACCAAATCTGGGAATTCTTATTCAGTGTAAATGTAGGGAACGTTTTTTGGATTTTGTTTGGAATTTTGTTTTTAAGAGCAGCATAAGCTAGCTTGAATGTGTTGTTTCTGATGGGAAATAATTTAATGACAGTGGAACACAAAATCATACTGGTGTGCATTAATCCTATATTGTAATCTGAGAAAGAGGATTTTTTGAAGGTCCTTTCATTTACCTAAAATCTTGGGTCAGTTTCACAGCTTTGCTGTTTCCACCAAGAGTAAGAATGCACAGAATGAAAAGAATGGCACAGTAAAAGGGATTGCTTATTCCTTATGATTTACTTTCACCCAAGATTGAGCAGCCATTAATTCACTCATATTATATAATTATTCTGTAGATCCACTGCTTAATTGTGATGGAAGTGGTCAGTATCTTATTCCTCACTGTCTGCATGCATCTGGATTATTCTCAGGACAATGCATTTTCTGTGTTTGACTCTTAGATTACTCCTGCTTCTAAGATAAGTGTGCCAGACTTACCTTGTCCTAATGAGGACGACAAGCTACAAGTACAGAAAGTGTCCACAGCTCAGTACAATGAGGTGGCGAATTTAGAGCCTGAGAATACGTTGGACCAACATTCCTTTTCTTTGCCTACATGTCGCATCAGTGAATCTGTGAAGAAATTAATGGAACTTGCCTATCAGACTTTATTGGAGGCAACAACCAGCAGTGATCAGTGGTATGAGCTCTTGAGTTATCTGAAAATGGCAGTGACTTGGTTAAATGTGTATCTAAACTAGACATTTATTAAGAAAATTAGCTGGAATTCTTTGGGTTTTCTTATCCTATTAGTTAATATTTTTTTCCCTAGAGATTCAGTATAGCACACAGGTGTGTACTGGTAATTAATTTTTACTTACAACAACGTATAGTCTTATAGCAAAGTATGAGAAATAAAATCATAAATGTGGATGGACAGATGGGTTTGACATTAAAAATTGTTAATCACTTTTTAACCAAAAGCTTTTTAATTTTTTACTTTTAACTTTTTATTTGACTTGAATGGTATTACATGAGAAAGCACTTGTGAAGAACTTAGAATGTTCCCTGGGAAATAATTAATACTCAGATGTTAATTAGTATTGGTTGTGGTGGTCATAGTGATAGCTGTACCATCTGCTTCAGCCTAACATTCATTTTACCTTTTGAAATCTAGGTCCTAATTAATTTATATCTGAAATACTAATGTTAAGCAATAATAGTTTGTTGGGCAGCCAAAGGTAGAAGGAAAAGAATGAAATGCACCAAAGTTCTGATTTCTCCCTTTCCAGAAGATTTCTTCTAGTCAGCATTACATTCAGGATACCTAAACTCGATTCCACATACCTCCATATTTGAATCTCTTTTTGTTTAGTAGGCTCCTTCCCCTGAGGAGACGACAGTAGGCTGTAGCCCAAGTTGATTGTAGAGTGGGTTTTCCAAAGCCTCTTTAGTTTGAATCTATGTGTCATAGTTTTTTTATTTCACATTCTCATAGGAAAACAGTTTCAATTAGAGCTTGACTTAATCATATTGCATCTTCCAAGGGGCTTCTGAAGTTTTAATCTCCATATATAAACAAACCCTTTTATTTTATTCTGTTCCAGAAAGAACATGTATACTAAAATACTTCAGTGATTTTAATGAATCATTATGTTCACGAGTCCATCCAGTTTTAAATATAAGGAGGAAGAAAAATGTAATACATGTAAAAGGAATCATATACTCCTTTGGCAGAATAAGGGCTTCCCTTTGGCTCAGCTGGTAAAGAATCCACCTGCAATGCAGGAGACCTGGGTTCAATCCCTGGGTTGGGAAGATCCCCTGAAGAAGGGAAAGGCTACCCATTCCAGTATTCTGGCCTAGAAAATTCCAGGGACTGTATAGTCCACGGGGTCGCAAGAGTCGGACATGACTGAGCGGCTTCCGCTTTCACTTGGCAGAATAAATATAGGAGTGAATAGGGCCTCCTCGGTGGCCCAATGGTAAAGAATCCATTTGCCAATGCATGAGACACAGGAGACGCGGGTTTGATCCCTGGGTCGAGAAGATCTCCTGGAGAAGGAAATGGTAACCCGCTCCAGTATTTTTGCCTGGAAAATTCCATGGACAGAGGAGCCTGGCAGACTACAGTCCATGGTGTCGCAGAGTTAGACATGACTGAGTGACTGAGTATGCATGCACATTTTTTTACATGGCATTCACCTGAAATATACCTGAGCAGACGTTAGGGATGCAAGACAATTTTTCATAAGATAATACCAAACTATATATATGTATGTATTTTTAAAAATTTACTTATTTGGCTGCACCAAGTCTTAGTTGCAGCCTGTGGGGTCTTTAATTGCAGCATGCGAACTCTTAGTTGTAGATTGTGGGATCTGGTTCCCTGACCAGGGATCTAACCCACGTCCCCTGCATTGGGATGGCAGAGACTTAGCCACTGGACCACCAGGGAAGTCCCACCAAACAACAGTTTTGTATACTGAATGTCTATGGACATCTTTCTCACCAAAAAATTAGTTTTAATAGGACAAACAAAAACACAACTACAACAACCCACTTTCCTATTATCAAACTTCAAACATCAACAATGCAACGAAAATAAAATGAAATAATTTAGTCAGGTATCATAGTCATCAAGTTTTAACAGTGTTTTGGGGTATAGTGAGCCATGACTAATTTTTTTAATAATCATTTGTGGAATTCCTGTGACTTACTCAGGGTACATAGTTTTAGTTAGTTTTATGTAGAAGTAAGCTCCATGAGCCTTTTATTTGCTCTGAGAGCTTTTTAATAATAATCTTTAGGTGTTCTAAGACCAGACTTAAAGGGCAAGAAATCTTGAGGTTGGATCCTCTCCTGGAAATGTTGATTCACGTCCTTGCATGGGGGTGAGAGGGAGGCAAGGTGGAGGCTGCAGGCAGACTGGCCCCGACAGCACCAGTGAGTGCCTTTCTTGATGCCTTGCCCTTTGCCGAGTGCGCCGGTGAGCGGGTGACATTTGCTGAGGCTTAGCTCCGTTCATTGCTGAAGGGATACTCGGGGTCCTGGCAGAGCACAAACTGATAGATGGGAAAGAGGCTTTGCGTTGAAAGTCACTGTTCTTAACGCTGTGAATGGGCCCAGATTTCAGACCTGCAGTCCAGTTGGTAACTCCTGGCTGAGAATTCATTCCATCCGGAGGAATGGTGTTTTCAGCAGTGACCAAGGCAGCTGAGTCTTAACTATAGACTTAGCTTAGTCTCTTCAGCTGTGGTCTTAGTGGGGGACTCTCACTTAAGGTGCACTGACTTTGAATTTTTTTTCTCATTGCCTTTATATCCTTATGCATTTCTCTTGAAACTGTGTTTTCTTTTTAGCGCTGTTCAACTTTTCTACTCAGTGAGGAATATCTTCCATTTGTTCCATGATGTTGTACCAACATATCACAAGTAAGTGCCACTGTGTCTGACTTCTGTATAATATTGTAGGCTTAAAATGTTTGAGTCAGGTTAAAACAGTAACTTTATATTCCCACCTAAGATAATTGGCTGCTAAAATTCACAATACAGTGCAATAAACCATTTACAATACATGTTTAAAGTACATTAGTCATTAATAATACATTAATAAGGGTACTATAATCTGTAGGATAGTAGGTGAGACGGATTTGAAAACTTAAGAGAACTTTTACCCTATTACTGATGGTAGGCATTTTCAAAACTGTCTCACTTTCCTTGGTTGCAAAACAAAAAGGTCATCCATTGCTCCATATTGCTATCTAGTAAACATCCCACATTTTCCCCTTGGCATTCATAGCTTTGCAGACTTAATACCAGGTGGCACTAGTGGTAAAGAACCTGCTTGCCAATTCAGGATACTTAAGAGATGCCGGTTTGATCCCTGGGTTGGGAAGATCACCTGGAGGAGGGTATGGCAACTCACTCCAGTGTTCTTGCCTGGAGAATCCCATAGACAGAGGAGCCTGGTGGGCTATGGTCCATAGGGTTGCAGAGAGTTGGACATAACTGAAGTGACTTAGCACACATACACAGCTGCTCTTTTTAGTGATCTTAGGCTGTATTTACCTCACATCTTGGATTTTTTTTAAAGTTTCTTTTAATATTAATCTGATAAGTTAATATTTAAGCATCCAGGAGTTCTCGTTATCATCCAAATAAAGTGTTTTGGATGACTTTATAGATATTTTAAGTAATATGTCAGCAAAGCTATTCCTTAAGTCAAGAACTCTGGTTTCAAAGAAAAGGTCAGTTTAATGTTTATAGTGATTTTTAGTTCAGATTTTTGAAAAATTGAGACATTTTTAAGTAGGTCCATTTATTTTGTTTTAAAAGACCACTTATTTATTGTAAGCTTATTATTTTTATTTGTATCCTCTTTGCTGTGGCTTAAAACTTTTATTTCACTTTCTACTTATTTAGGTAAAGGAAAAGAGGAAACATCTTCAGGTCAGTTAATAGTCACGTCCTTGGGGATTCAGTTGGCTTAGGGCTTTTTGTGCTTAGAAACATTTTTCATACTGGGGTGGAGTTAGATTTGCCATTTCCCCCCTTTGTATGATCTAAGAACTTTATGCTAGACCAGTGGTTTACAAACTTTAGTGTGTTTCAGAATCACCAGGAAACTTTGGTAGGATACAGATTACCAGATTTCTTGCTCCAGATATCTGATTAAGTAGGGCTAGAGTAATGTTGTTTGGTCACTGAGTTATGTCCAACTCTTTGAGACCCCGTGGACTGCAGCATGCCAGGCTTCCTGGTCCTTCACTGTCTCCCAGAGTTTGTTCACATTCATGTCCATTGAGTCAGTGATGCTGTCCAGCCATCTCATCTTCTGCCACACCCTTCTCCTCCTGCCCTCAATCTTTCCCAGCATCAGGGTCTTTTCCAGTGAATTGGCTCTGCACATCAGGTGGCCAAAGTATTGGAACTTAAGCTTCAGCAGCAGGGTTGGGATAAAGCCTAGACTTTTTAACAGATTTCCAGGTGATGCTGCTATTTTCTTGCCAGGGGACCACACTTTCAGAACCACTGTTCTAGATTAGTGTTCTCAGCTTTGGCAGTATTTTAGACTCTTTCATGGACCTTTGAGAATATATATATTTGCTTAAGCCCTAATTCTAGAGATTTTGATGTATAGGTGTGATTTAAGACTCAGACATCTCTGTTTTCTAAAGCCCTGTGATGAGTGTGATGTGTAGCCCAAAGTGAGGACAACTGTCTTAGGTTGTTAGTTTCCAATTTTGTATATTCTAGCCTGACATGGAATGGCCAAACCAGGAAGTTTAATTGAATGACTGCAAGTGGATATGTAGCAGAAGTTTAAGACAAGCTCTCTTCCCAGGCTAGGTAGATAACAACTAATATGTGCAGAAGAATTAAAACAGTGATTTTTAATCTTTTATGAAAATTTAAAATCACCTGGTGGGATTTTAAAACATATAAATGCCCCGATTTCACTCAGAGGTTGTGTTTTGTTTGGAGAGTGAAGTCTAAGCATCTATATATTTAAACTTTCTCAGATGACTCTAATCTGCAGCCACTTTTGAAAACTAGTGAGTTGGAAAATAATTAAGTGCTTCATTGTATAAATGAGATAGGAGTTTGGAGAAAGAGGAAGCAAACCTGTATTGCCACAGACTTATCAGTGTTAAATTTTAAGGGAATTATGTATAGCTATTCTAGGTTTCTAGTACAAAGAGTTGACAGAGGTAAACATCCATTCCCTTGCTCTTTCTTTCTTGTTAATCACTGGGTTAGTTTTATTGGATAAGGTCTCATGCAGGCAGAACAAACTCAATGTGTGGGAGTGGGAGCAATGAGTTTACATCTTGCTACTTACAGCATTTATACAGCAGACAATGATTAATAACTGAGAAAGTCGTTAGAAGAGCCAACTTCAATAACAGGTGATTTCTTTCTTTTCTTTCACTTCCTCCTGACCTAGGGAGAACCTTCAAAAACTGCCACAGTTGGCTGCCATTCACCACAACAACTGCATGTATATTGCTCACCACTTGCTAACCCTCGGGCATCAGTTCAGGTTGCGTCTTGCCCCCATTCTCTGCGATGGCACTACTACTTTTGTGGACCTTGTACCTGGCTTCCGGAGACTTGGTAATGATGCCTTAAATGTAGGAAAGCATTCTGATAATGCAACTTATCAGACTAGTATCTTTATAATTTACAAATAAGACCTGTTCGAAATTAGATGGTGGTCCCTGAGCTATATTGGAAGAGAAAGGGCATTTAATTTGCAGGTGTTCCCAGTTATATAGCTTTATGAAGTGAATGCAATCTTTTGAAAGCATTACTTTTTCATGACATGATTCTGTGGTACATTAGAGTTCCAAACTGCATTGCTGGTGTGTGGTGAATTCACCAAATTAGAGTTATGTCAATAGAGTGACATGTCCTAAGAGGTATAGTGTGACAGCCCTGTTAGCATTGTTTGTAAGAGTCACTAATGTCAGTGCTTATTCATTTGCAAAACCTCACACCAGCTCCCTTCTCTTCTACTTCCCTTAGCTTTACTTCTGATTATTAAAAATCAAAAGAAATATGTGATATCAGTATGTTTACTATAATGATAGCCTAAGAAAAGCAGAGAATCTGTATCGTTTACTCAGCTTTTCAATTCCTGACTTTCCCCTGAGGTAGTGTAGATATATCAGGAAAATAAGCAGTGGCTTCTACTGTGTATGTAGTCTTTCTTATCTGATTCTGGACAGACTGTTGAAAAAAGTTCACTTTCTGAGGATGGGCTTGGAGGGACTGGCTGATGTATTAGAAGTGGTGTTTTTATTAATCGTGACCTTAGGGCCACCTTATGTTAACTAACAAGCAATTGTTTTCAAATAGGCAAAAACAGGTATTTGGTTCCTGCTTGTCTCTCCTCCTCCACCCTTAGTGTAACTGAACTACGCTCAGATTTCTTTATTCTCTTTTCTCGTCATAGGGACCGAGTGTTTTCTGGCCCAGATGCGGGCACAGAAAGGAGAACTTCTGGAAAGATTATCAAGTGCTAGAAACTTTTCGAACATGGACGATGAGGACAATTATTCTGCAGCAAGTAAAGCAGTGCGGCAGGTGGGGAGCTGTTGTTAACTCTGCAGTTCGTGCTCTTTCTTTAGATGCTTCCTGCTTATTTTTAAGTAGCAAAGCGTATGTGGCAGGTAGCTCAGTTGATTCCCCACAAGTCCCTGTGGAAATGTGGCCACTTTTTCTAGTCACATTGATGACCTTTCCTTTCCCCTGCCCCACCAAGTCAATAGGAAGCTGTCTTCCCATCAAGCCAGTAGTGCGCCTAGTTATCTAATAAGTCTGCCACCACAAGTATTGGGTTGGCCAAAAAGTTCGTTTGGGTTTTCCTGTAAGATGTTGCAAAAAACCCAAATGAGTTTTTTGACCGACTCAGTGTTTTAACCCATAAATTTGGAGAAGTTTGAAATACTAGCTTTCATCTTAAAAAAATGCTTCTCTCTCTTAAGTGACTTACCTTTTTACTCCAGTTTTCCTGTCAACAGGGTAAGTATTTTTCATCAAGCAAGGATATCACTAGGGTGAAATATTTGAGAAACATGTGTTCTGAATGGCTTTACATCACTATTATGTAACACTTCTTCCTTACACACAGAAATGGTAAATGTAAATCTACCATTTAGAAAATGTAAGTTGTAAGGAAAATGTGAGTTGCAAGGAAAATGTGAGTTGTAACAACCCCTGTTTCATGTAAAGATCTGTATTTTTCTGACAGGTACTGCACCAGCTAAAGAGACTCGGAGTTGTGTGGCAGGATGTCCTGCCGGTGAACATATATTGCAAGGCTATGGGGACTTTACTCAACACAGCGGTTTCTGAGATCATTGGCAGGATCACTGCCCTGGAGGTAAGGGCCTTTAGATGCTTCTCCAGACTTGAGCTGCAGTTGTTCTTCCAGGTGATGTTGATGTCTCATTTTTAGTCAACACAGATGGTAGAAGAAATTGTTCGTGTCTCACCTCTAAGTCATTGTACTGTTATTTTCTTACTTTTGTCTTAATTCTGTTTTTCTGGAGTCTTGCTAATCTCTGTCCTTCATACCTATCTAAGAAAGTAGGATCATATATATGGCTTACGCCACCTGGCATCTGTAAATTATGAGTGAGGAGCCTGGAAATGGGGCAGTTCTTCCAAAATACAGAGTGTGAGGTTGTATACTTAATAAGTAGGTGGACTGAAGACTTTAATTTAGTAAGATAAGATGCAGCCTTGTGCAAGTACCACTTTACCAGCACCCTGTTGATGTTGGGACTGTATGTATGATCCTGCAGGAAAGTTGCCTGGACTCTGCGAGGTGATTCCTCTAAAGTATAGATTGGCTAAACCCCTGTAATAAGATTCCCTGCTTTGCAGCACACTGCCCCACTTTCTACTGGAGAAATGGATTCTTTCATGCAGGCAAATGAAATTACCAACGATCTATTGAAACCGATTGCATGTCATTCTTGCTTTGGGAGTATTGTCAGAATTGATGAGATCAGTAAGGTCTGCTAAATTGGTTGGAAAACATCTTGCTGCCACTGACCCCATGAATAGCATGCACCAAAGATCTGCTTTTTTCTTACCACTGAACTGGTCTAATTCTGTTCTGTCGTGTTCCCTTTGTGCAAAATCAGGACATCTCTACCGAAGACGGTGACAGATTGTATTCCTTGTGCAAAACAGTGGTGGATGAAGGACCTCAAGTATTTGCACCTCTGTCTGAAGAAAACAAGAATAAGAAATACCAAGAAGAGGTTCCAGTCTATGTGTCAAAATGGATGCCATTCAAAGAACTGATGATGATGCTACAAGCCAGTTTGCAAGAAATTGGGGATCGGTGGGTAAAACCCTTCTGTAGGATTTATTTATGTCTTCACAACTATAAAAGAATATCAGTGCCATCGAAGGCAGTGCTTTCCTCTGTTTCCTAGTGTTACTCAGGAGAGTTTCATATTGAGTAGCAGTAACTGGGGCCTTTGCATGGCCTGTTGTAGTGTGGATCTCATGACCACTGTCTCATATTTGATACTGTAAGGACTTCCTGCTTCTATTATTTTTGTCTTGAGCATGTTGTTTTGTCATGCTCTATAGATAGATGATCTTGTACTGCTTGCATTTACAAGAAGTACAACCTTCTAACACCTAGATGGAAATTCTTGCCCATTTTAACCAACAGTGGATGCATTTTAAGATTGATTTTGATATGTTAATAGAGAAGTGACTTTTACCTGTAAGAATAGTCAGCATCAAACCACTGTTTGTTTGAGCAGCAGTTTTTCTACAGGGATTCAGTACCACACACGTAGAAAGGATTCATCTTTTCGTAAATTACCTGTAAGAATAGTCAGCATCAAACCACTGTTTGTTTGAGCAGCAGTTTTTCTACAGGGATTCAGTACCACACACGTAGAAAGGATTCATCTTTTCGTAAATACAGTGCATGTTATTTTCTCTCAGCACCATCAGTTAACATTGCTATGCTCTGTAATTGCATACTTTGTTGTATCCTATTGAATGTGTGAAGGTCGTTGATACTGTGCAAAAACAGGATAGATACTGGCTAGTTGCATATCCATGGATGCTTTAATTATTGTCTTGGTATATGATTAACAAACACACATAACCTTGCATAGAGAATGCACTGAATAGGCATTGAGGTCCATATCCATCTCTGTAGCTACTTGTCTAGTTGCTTTAGGTTGGTTTATTACAGATGCCCAAGTGTATTAGACTAGCTGTCCTTGATGTGTCTGAGTTGTTCCCAGCAAATACTATTCATTCTTAAACAAGGTAAATGAGATTTTTGCTTGAAAAAACAAAATCACCTCAGAAGACCTCTAACTGCACTTAGTACAAACTTCAAGTGATTCATCTGTTATTTACAAGTCCTTGGTGGGTTATGTCTTCAGATAAGACTCCAGAGGGCAGCAGATGAGAAATTTTGTTTCTGCTGTTAAAAGGGCCCTCTTGCAGCTCAAGAATGATCATTAATTCTTTGTTATGAGAACAGTTATAATACTGATATATCTCAGCTTCTTTTCTTCTGCCTAGGAAGATATTCTTCCTCCCAGAGATTTCAGTAGATATAAGGATAGTAACTAATTGAGAAAATATTTTTTTACCAAAGAAACTGTCTTTGGTTGTGTAGTTTAAACATTTAAAAATTAAAATATATACCTATGAAGGAGTACAGTATATATAACATATTCACAAGTCTAAAGAACAAAAGAGTAAAATAAATGTTCGCATACCTACTACCCAACTAAGAAAAAGATGATCATTACCTTTGAAGACCCTGTGCTGTTCTCTAAATGGTCCCCCCACCCCCAGAGGTAACTGTCTTGAATTTTGTGTTATCTCCTTGCTTTTCTTTATAGTTTTACCACATTTGTATGTATCCCTAAATATAAATTTTAGACTTGCCTGTTTTTGAACTTCCTGTTAATAGAATCTTCTATAACTTGCTTCTCTTGATTAGAGAATTCATTCATGAAAGTATGTATAGCTATAGTTCATATGCACTGCTGTATCATATTCTGATAATAGTCATAGTTTTTTAAAAAGTTATAATTAACAGATTACTTTCAGGTTTAAAACATAGTGATTTGCTATCTTTATACATTATGAAATGATCATCACAGTAATATCAGTTACCATCCATCACCAAAGTTGTTACAATATTGACTGAATTCCTTATGGGTATGTTACATCCCTGTTGACTTATTTATCTTATAGCTGCATATTTCATAGTTTATTTATTCTGTTGTTTCACATATTCACCAGTATTTGGTATTATCAGACTTTAAAATTTTTCCTAGCCTAGTTGCTATGAAATGGTAGCTCATTGTCCTTTCAATTTATATTTCCCTAAATTCTAATGTCATTGAGCATCTTTTTAGTGATCATTTTTTTTTCTATTGTAAAATGCCTATTTATTTTTTTTTTTATATTGGAAATCTGTGCTTTTTTGTGGGAGTATAGTTGATGCATAATATTATTAAGTTACAGGTGCCCAATATGTTGATTCAGTTTTTAAAGGTTATACTCCCTTTATAGTTATTATTGGCTCTATTCCCTGTGTTGTACAATGTATCCTTGTAATTTATTTTATTAGTTTGTACCTCTTAGTCCCCTCCCTCTAAATTCCCTGTCCCCACTGGTAACAACTGGTTTTTATTCTCTCTGTCTGTGAGGTGTTCATATTTTTTACCCTTTATTCTACTGATTTTTTTTGTGATTTTAAATGTATTATTTTGTGCCTCTTCTTTGTTGGTTAAAATGTGCTGCCTGTGGTTCACTTTTTAAAGTAGTTACAGTTATATTTCTGTATATAACCCTGTGAGCATGTGGTCCTAATTGTCAAGTTTAAACGGGCCTAGTGAGTATAGAATAAGGGAGAAGTGTTTATCTTTCTAACTTGGTCTCTTCATCAGTCTATGCTGATATCAAAATGCAGCCAAGAAGCAGAAGATGTTAAATATACTGAGTGGTAGACTCATAAAGAAGGGGGGAAATGCCAGAATTTGTTTTATTTCCATTTTAACACATTATTGAAGCAATGTCACTTATATAACAAATCACCGGCCACAGGCAGTAGTCTCTGCAAAAATCCCCTCGTCATTAATGAGTTAAACAAATACATGTTTGGAATCAAGTAAGCAATTTAAAAACTTTGCTTATACTTAATAGGAAATAGAAATTGTATTTTTTTATTTTGCAGGTGGGCAGATGGAAAAGGGCCCTTGGCAACTGCATTCTCTTCGAGTGAAGTTAAAGCTTTAATTCGTGCCTTGTTCCAGAACACAGAAAGAAGAGCAGCCACCCTTGCTAAGATTAAATAGCTCCATCTTCCTGAGAAGGCCATGTCTTGACCAGGTGGATTCCTCTTGGCGTAATCACTCCTTTAAAGACTTCTTGGAATCACTGATATGTTGTGGAAGTTTGATTTCACCCAAGAACGCCTTACCTCCTGGCCTGTATGGTAAGATGTCAAATGAAGTACCTCAAGTTGTTGACTTTTCAGCCACCCTCCCATGATAAAAAAACCCCAGGGTGACATTATTTCATGTTGCTTCCAGGATCTCGGGACTGTATTCATTGAAAATATAAGCTCTGGCCTTGGATCAAGGAATCCGGGACATTCCAAGAGTCACAATAAAGAATTTTTGAGGGATGGGAGATTTATTTTGGAGGGCAAGGGAACTATATTTGGTCTCTTGGGAATTAAAGAGACTGCCTTTAATATTTCTTTCCAATAAATAATAATTTTCAGTTATGGTGCGTGTTTTTAATAATATGGGAGCTTAACAAAGGAGGCCATCAAGTTTTCCTCTCTTTTGTGCCATTCTTTTTATTGACATTTATGATCCTCACAGAGGACTTACTGATTTATCTTCTTTCTTCATGATACTGTCTGATAATTTCTCAACATTCTTAGGACCCCTAAGACTTTCTTTTAGTATAAATTTTTGGCACTTTTTGCTGTTTCAACTAAATGTTTTTTTTTTTTCTGATCTTGCACATGACTTGTAGGATCTTAGTTCCCTGACCAGGGATTGAACCCAGGCCCTAGGCAGTGAAAGTGCAGAGTCCTAACCTGTGGACTGCCGGGGAATTCCCAGACTAAATTCTAATTTTTTTAAATTGGATTTTCTTTTCTTCTTTTTTTTTTTTTTTTTGTCTTCTCAAATTCCACTGTTTCTGTACCTCTCAGATGGCAAAGGTTTTAAATTGCCAGTGTGCCTTCGGTAGGTACGTGCTGTGAGGCGTGAACTCTGGGTTCTACAGCCTAATCCTATATTTGGTGAACGTGGTTAATCCTACAGCTCAGCTTTCTATGTTTGTAACTCTGCAGCCACTGGAGGTTTGTATTAGATTGAAGTTGTTCTCTGTAGAACTCTGGGTTGTATCTCTTCATGCAGAGCTATGATTTCCTCTTGTGAAAAGAGGGAGAAGAGTGTCGCCTGTGTGTGCCTCGGAGAAGGTGCTGTCTGGAGGAAGTTTTCAGTGTAGTGGTCTGCTTCCTCGGGCTTCAGCCCCCAGTCCCCGGCACGCATAGAATAAACTGCCTTCAATTATTTCAGCTTCCCCTTGTTCTTAGTTCGGGCTCAGCCCCTAGACATTCTGGTTACTTAGTCTGGTGTTTTTTTATCAGAGAACTCAGCTGTGGTTGATGACAACCTATTTATTTATACTCAACATACCCTATTATGACAACACACAGAAAAAAGACGCCTGAACCAACTCTAGTTTTTTTGAGAACAAAGAAGTTGTCTTCCTTGAGAGAGGGGGAGGGGACCGTTTTCACAGATGAAGAAAATAACCATTTCTGAAAATCCACACAATTTGAGGCAGGATTCTTTTTTTCAGCGATGGAGAGAATGGGGAACTAAGGACAGAACTGAAATACATGAATTACAGGACTGTTAACACACAATAGCAGATTTCTTTTGTTCATAGAAGCTATTCCTGCTGCTTGACAGGTGCAGCAATTGAGGGGTGGGATCTCTTATAACTGAATAGTGTGCTCCTCATCCCATCCCTCCACCCCACCATTAGCACAAAAAACTGCATCACAGTTCTTCTGAGGCTGGGTAGACTCCATCCCTCAGCATTTGTTCCTCTAGTGAATACTCTGTATATTATATCACACAGAGCGGGCAGACTCCAATTGCCAAGGCAGTGAACAACTGGTCTTTAAGGGAATATTCTTTCTGGTCAGAGATCTGCTCAGCCATCTGACTGAGCAACACGGGAGTAGGGTCTTGTAGCTCTTACTGAGACCCTGAAGGTAACTATTCTGATTGGGAACCTAGGAACCTTCTTCCTCTAGAAAGAGTGTGGATTATGGGAGTAGGAGGATTTTTTTTTTTTAATGTGGACCACTTTCAAAGTCTTTATTGAACTTGTTACAGTGTTGAACTTCTGTTTTATGTTTTGGGTTTTTTTGGTCAGGAGGCATGTGGGATTTTAGTTCTCCTATGGAGAATCAAACCTGCAGCCCCTGCATTGGAAGGCAAAGTCTTATAACCACTGGACTGCCAGGGAAGTCCCAGGGGGTAAAGGAACTTTAAGAGGCTTGACTCACATGTCTGTAGGTCAACGAGAAGAAGCCTCTTCCCAGATTACACCCAGAACTATACCAATGACAGGGAAATGAAATTCCAGAAAGGATCTCCAAGGTTTTAGTAAAAAGGAAAGTTTTTGTTAAAAAAGGCAACCCCCCCGAGGTAACTCGATAGTTGTTCCATTGCAGTGTGGATCCTGAATTGTTGGTGACCCATGTACGGTCACTTTAGCATTGGATTCCCTCTGAAATGGGGATCCTCCAGATGGCACTCTCTGCTCAGGCCTACGAGCAGCACAAGGCATCTAGGCCTGGTCAGTGGGAGCCGAGGCCAAGGAACTTGTTCATTTCACCCTGGGCTTTTCTGGCCTTGGTCAGCCCAGGAAGGTGGTTCAGACTCTGCACGCATCTGTGTTATAAACGGTGACATGCCACTGAACAATCACTTGTGGATAGATCAAACAGCATTTTCTTTGATTAATAACATTGTTAAAAAAAAGATGTGGGCTTCCCTAGTGGCTCAGCAGTAAGGAATCTGTCTGCAGTGCAGGATACACGGGTTTGATCTGTGGGTCAGGAAGATCCCCTGGAGGAGGAAATGGCAACCCACTCCAGTATTCTTGCCTAGAAAAATCCCATGGACAGAGGAGCCCGGTGGGCTGCAGTCCAGGGGATCGCAAAGAGTCAGACATGACTGAGGGAGCATGCATGCATGCTATTGTTTATTCGATTCCCTATGATTATGCCTATCTTCTGAAAGTTCTGAGAGGTACACATACATCCTCTGGGGATATTTTTGTTATAAGAAAACTGGCCCAAAGGAGTAATTTGCCCAAGTTCCACAGCTAGTTTGTGCCATATAAAGATGAAGGCGTGTATAGGAGTGACTTCTTAGCAAAGGGAGGTAGCTGTAAATTCAGGAAGGAATAAGGCTATTGAAAATGGCCTCACACACAAAAAGTCATGGCACAAAGTAGTCTTTTTAAATTGGGTTTTGGTTTTGCGATAACTTCCTCCTAAAAATAGACATTTTGCTAAAGCCTAAAATTTCCTGAAAGTTACAAAGCCCCAATTTTGAGAAGTTTTTCGATTATATGGTTTAGACAGATATTCCTCTCCTTGTCATGAGAAGTTTGGTTGAGAAGTTTGTGAGGTCACATAACATAACTGGAGCTAGCCTTAGATGTCTCAAAACCGTGTTATGAAATCTCTGCTTTGAGTTTGGGGGGGAGGGCAATGATGCTGATGAGCTATGTATAAGTTCTGCACTCCTCCTCAGGAATCAGAGTGCCCCAGATTTCTTGTGTGGTGTGAGAGAGCCGGTGGGAGTGGATAGGTCTTAGCTACACCTGCCACTGAAGAAGACTCTAATATCAGGTCTACACCCTCCCTTGTCTCAGCTTTACAAGTGGTCCTAACACTCCCTACATCGATTCTCTTACATTTACTGGGTGCAGGCATTATTCAAGTCACTGAACAATGCTCCCCTCAGAAAAACCCCACAAAGATTCCCTGTTTCTCTGGAGTTTCAAATTCTGGTGCTAAAGAGATAGATTTATTCGTAGTGATGCCTTAGGAAGCATCACTATGAACAAAGCTAGTGGAGGTGATGGAATTCCAGCTGAGCTAGTTCAAATCCTAAAAGATAATGCTGTGAAAGTGCTGCATTCAATATGCCAGAAAATTTGGAAAACTCAGCAGTGGACACAGGACTGAAAAATGTCAGTTTTCATTCTAATCGGTAAGAAAGGTAATGCCAAAGAATGTTCCAACTACTGCACAATTGCACTCATCTCACATGCCAGCAAAGTTATGCTCAAAATTCTCCAAGCCAGGCTTCAACAGTATGTGAACCAAGAACTTCCAGATGTTCAAGCTGGGTTTAGAAAAGGCAGAGGAACCAGAGATCAAATTGGCAACATCCATTGGATCATAGAAAAAGCAAAAGAATTTCAAGAAAAACATCGACTTCTGCTTTATTGATTACAGCAAAGCCTTTGACTGTGTGGATCACAACAAACTGTGGAAAATTTTTCAAGAGATGGGAATACCAGACCACCTTACCTGCCTCCTGAGAAATCTATGCAGGTCAAGAAGCAACAGTTAGAACTGGACATGGAACAATGGACTAGTTCCAAACTGGGAAAGGAATATGTCAAGGCTGTATATTGTCACCCTGCTTATTTAACTTATATGCAGAGTACATCATGAGAAATGCTGGGCTGGAAGAAGCACAAGCTGGAATCAAGATTGGGAGAAATATCAATAACCTCTGATATGCAGATGACACCACCCTTATGGCAGAAAGTGAAGAACTAAAAAGCCTCTTGATGAGATTGAAAGAGGAGAGTGAAAAAGTTGACTTAAAACTCAACATTCAGAAAACTAAGATTATGGCATCTGGTTCCATCACTTCATGGCAAATAGATAGTGAAACAGTGGAAACAGTGGCTGACTTTATTTTCTTGGGCTCCAAAATCACTGCAGATGGTGACTGCAACCATGAAATTAAAAGATGGTTGCTCCTTGGAAGAAAATCTGTGACCAACCTAGACAGCATATTAAAAAGCAGAGACATTACTTTACCAACAAAGGTTCATTTAGTCAAAGATATTGGTTTTCCAGTATGGAAAACAATACTCATATGGATTTAGAGTTGGACCATAAAAAAAGCTGAGTGCCAGAGAATTGATGCTTTTGAACTGTGATGTTGGAGAAGACTGTTGAGAGTCCCTTGGCCTGGAATGAGATCAAACCAGTCCGTCCTAAAGGAAA